GGGGGGGGGGCCCTAAAAGTTGGTTTCTGAGGGGGGGGCCCCCCTTAAACAAAAAAAGAAAAGAAAAGTGTCAATAACAAAAATAATTTATCTATTTAGGTCAATTATATGGTTTAGAAAAATTCTGGGCATTTTTAAAATATTCTCGAGAAAAACCAAACATCAATTCAAAACTTGAAGAAATTTTAAAAAACTATAGAAATCTTGAAGATTTTCGTGTTGATGGTGCATCATTTCCACAACAATTTTTTCCAACAAAATCAAATTATAGTAATTGAAAAACATTTTTTTTTCCTGTGATATAAATAATTTCTTTATAGACTGTTCCAGCATTCGAAGCAATTGCTGCTGCAGTAGCAAAGAACAGTGATACATCAGATTCATTAAAACCCAATGGTGAACAATATCTGAACGGTGCTCATATTTTTTCAAGTGGATTTCGATTTATGTAAAAGTATGCATGTATTTTTTTTTGCTTTCAAAGTTTATTGTTATTTAATCATTTTCTATGTATTTTATTACATTGGTTTGTTATTGTAGTAGATAGATAGATTAAATAGTGATGCATTTTCTTTTTCTATCGATAGAGATATGAAGAATTTTCATATGGTTTCGTTTTGTTTCTGGAACTATTTGCTAATAAATTCATCTCGTTTATTTAATAATATTGGTAAGATATTGAGATAATATTTTATTTCGATAGAAGAATTTAGCGTTTTAAGAAGAATTGGTATTGGTTTAGCTATTGCTGGTGGTGTGATTAATTCTATGCTTTATAATGGTAAATATGAAAAGATTAAAAAAAACTTGTTTTCTTTAAATTTAAATATATTCTAGTTGATGATGGTCATCGAGCTGTTATTTTTGATTGTTTCCAAGGTGTTAAGCTAGGTGTTATTGAAGAAGGAACTCATTTTATGATTTCATGGCTTCATAGACCAATTATATTTGATATTCGTACATGACCACGATCTATTCTATCAATAACAGAAATAAAAGGTATAAAAGCTAGAAGAAAACAGTCAACTTCAGGAGAGAGGTAAACATGAGGAAAATGTAAGCTCGCAAAAAAAAAGAAGGTAAATACGATGTCTATTGAAACATCAATGAATGTATATGGCTGAGGTATCTTAAAAAATTTTGCGGCCATCGATGGTAACTCAGCTGATCGGTTGGATTTACAAACGATTAATATAAAATTACGTATTCTTTATCGACCAAGAGCTGAACTTTTACCAAAACTTTTTTGCAAATTTGGGTTTAGATTATGAAGAACGTGTTTTACCATCGATTATTAATGAAGTTTTAAAATCTGTTGTACTAAGTCTCAATTTGATGCTATTGAATTGATTACACAACGCACACTTATTTCGCAACGTAATAGTGAATTATTAACAGAACGTGCTGCTCAATTTGGTTTATTACTTGATGATATTTCAATTATAAGATATGATAAAAAAGAGTCTCGAGTTGATTATATTGTTTTTTTTCTTTAAATTAGACACATTTAAGTTTTAGACCTGAATTCACAAGTGCTGTTGAATTCAAACAAGTTGCGCAACAAGATGTTGGAAAACAACGGTTTTTAGTTGAAAAAGTAAATCGATAAGAATAAAATTTGTATGAGTTTGTTTTTTTTTGATAAAAAAAACAGACTGAACAAAGTCGTCAAGAAAATGTTATTGCAGCAGAAGGTGATGCTCGTACAGCTGATTTAATTGGCAAAGCTTTAGATGAAGCTGGTGATGGTAAATTTTCGAATATCATTCATTATCTTGTCTTACTTTGTTTTAATATTCATGTTAGGTTTGATCGAACTTCGACGAATTGAAGCCGCTGAAGGTACTGCAAATCAATTATCAAAATCAAGAAATAGCGTCTATTTACCACATGGTCCTCAAATGTTACTTAACATTACTGGTGCTATGCAATAAAAATATTGTTTTTTGTTTTCATAGTAAAGTAACGAGATTGATTTAGGAAAATAAAAAGAACATACAAGAGTTTTTTTTGTATGTGTGTGTTTACAAACCATTGAGAATACTAAAGCATTGTATTGTCCTGTTTTTTGTTCGATTAAAGAAAAAGAAGATCAGATCAACAATTCCATTTCATTTACAAGAAATTTTTACCTATCGACGTGAAAAAATTGATGTAAGAGGCGAATGTTTAAAACTTGTACCAGCTGAAAATATACAACAAAATACTGTTGAAATAATTAAATAAGAAATAAACAACAATCAAAATTATACAAATGCTCGATTTCGTGCACCACTTGCCAATTATTTACTACATTTGGTAGGAAATTAAAATCATTTTAATCATTTAATTAATATTATCTTTTTTTCTTTTGTTATATTTATTTGAATTGATATCGGTCGTAAGCTGAAAAAGAAAATAAACTTTCAATCTTGTCGAATAACTCATACGTATTGATTCTTCATTTGTCTGAAAATCAATTCGACAGATAATCATACATAATTTTTCTGCTTTGTAGAAAATACTCAGTGTTTTGTCAATAAAAAAACTAATGTCTCATGTGTAGCTAAGTTAGAAAAAAAAGTGTAAATAATTTATCCATATAGTCTTTTTTTTGAAATATCATTCTATCTATTGGCAAAGTTGTTTGTAGAAAAATTGGTCAATGAGACTTTTATGTTTGGCTTATGATATGATCAGAGAAAAAAGTAAAACAAAAACTATTTATTCCTCACTATATTCAGGGATTTTCTCTAGATTCATAACAAATATTCGCGTATGCTTTACGTAATAGATGCAGAGTGCCGAGATGTTGCCTTCATCAACTAGTATTTTGTCTGTAGTTAGGAATAAGTTGTAGATAAAACAGCCTTTAGTATATTGACATAGTTCTTTTTTTTATGGAATCGTAAACCATGATATATACGTCCTGTAAATCTGTACTGTGAGTGATGACAAAGTAAATGAGTAGATCGATTGAAGAAAAGGAATCGACCTGGTGACCTTATTACTCATAGACTATATATGCCGACTATGATGATAATTCTCGATTATTTGTCTAGTATTATCGAATGTCTGGAAACACAATTCTAATCATGAATCAATTAAATCATCATTATCTATAGTCATTAAATCATCGATTGAGTGCCGAGGTAATCATTGATTGACAGTAGGATAAAAGCTCGACTGGCTATCTCATGATGAATGAGCGACATCCAATGCATTAGAAATTGCATTGAAGCAAAGTTTTAGAATTTATGTTGACATATTATTCATTTGAGGGAAATGAGCCAAAAAAAGACCTTGAATGTTCTCTGAAACAGGATATGGTTGTCGATGTCGATGTTGTGAATTAGGTAGCCACACCCATACCATGGCAATATAATAGATCTTTGAACTCTATCGATTTGACACATTCATTAATTAAATAACTATAAGGAATTTCGAAGCAGGTAGTTATGCAAAAATTTGTAACACAGATCATTCCGAGTTTTTTAATGCAATAGAAGTTTAGTTGATATTTTTTCAAAGTATGGTTCTTGTATATTTCAATATGAAAAACAAGCGATAGAAAAATGATTCGTATAATCATGCAGCTAATGCATGTAACTAGTCAGCAGATTCCTATAGCGTCGTTGTGCAATGTCATTCACAAACTCTCATACATTCGTCGTTGGATTGGAATCGATTGCCATTGCCTACAAATGAAGATATCTTGTATTTTATATTTCATGAACAAATTGAATATTTACCTTGGCAGCCACCGTAGATGAACGATTCGCAGCGATTTATTGTTGAATTAAAGAAAAATCTCTTGAAATAAGCACGACACATACCATGTACAGGTGGTAATTCGCACACCGATAGTCGTGTAGCACCGACCAGAAAGACTATGACCAAACATGAAAGGACGATAAAAATTGTAAATTTATGCATAATACAATACTATAGGTCTGTGCTGTATATCTACAATAGTTAAAATGAATTATTAGAATAGACAAATAAGACCATGAATATCAATAATCATCTATTGGCAACAAGTATGACTAGCCTCGAGTACTGGGAATCATGTCTGGGATGTTGATCGGAGAACTTTGGAGCAATATGTTGTATAGAACATTCGATGGAAAGCTCGATTGAAAGATATATCTCAGAGAAATATTTTTATTAGTTATTCTTTCGATTTGTAATCTGCAATCTTCAAGATTATAGTTTGCAATGAAAATAACATATTGTTACATCGAAATTTGAGATTTGTACTTAGTATATTCATCTCTGTATATTTTTGACTATCACCATAGTATATACTTTTGATGGACCGAAAAATAGTTATCACTAGACTTCTTCCGTTCTAGAATATTATTGTCCTTTTTTTGGAAGTAACGACAGCTGTTCGTAATAATGTTCATTTTTCTGTAGCGAAAATGTCATAGTTGATCGCACACTATTCTTTTCGTTTGAGAGCTTTCAATTCAATTTTAATTATTGATATAGAGCAATCGGATCATGAACAATAACCATGACTAGAGTCAATTACTATTGAATAGTCCAAACGTATGTTGAAAATCAATTAGTGTACTCTACGTAGATTTCAAATAGACAATTCTAGATAGTGAGAAGAATTTAAAATGTGAGTACACCGATAGTTGAGCTCCGAATACTTGGGACCTCCTTGATTAATAAAAAAAAAATCAATATTCGATCACTTAGTTCAACTCATACGTAAGTACGGCAAATTTAAAAAACACTGATATTGCATCTAACTATTCATTGTCTATAAGCTTCACCAGGTCGTAGCGAAATGCGAGTCTTGGCATATTATTTATCGAGAAAAAGCTATTTGAATCAAGCACGTATTTAAATAGTATAAGGAATCAGTGAATCGCAACTATACATCGCTGTTTAAATAGAAAAGTAAAAAGAGACAAAATGATTTTGCAAAACAAACTACGTAATTTGTCCGTCGTACACAATCAAAATTGATATCTTTCACAGAGAAAAAATTGTAAATTACTATAGTCGAGTTACGGCATTTCAGACTGGTTGATATACATGTTGCTCTAGAATAAAATAAACGAAATAAGAGAAAACGGATGCTCATTGTGTAAATAAATACGAAATTCAATGGTTTAGAGTAGAGATCGATCGGACAAACATCGAATTTGAATCAATTCTCAATTGGTATACGCACTTCAATGGCAAACGATACCTTCGCTACTTATCATGCTGCATCATAGGACACTGGTAGACACGACGATCGAAATCGTCAGTAGTCTTTCCATCAATGTTTCTTCGATTATGCCAAACGTTATATAAATATGAAATCATTCACTGCAATTAAATAGAAGTTATTGTGACAACATTGTGAACGAATCTTAATTTACTCCGCTCATTGTCGATTTGGTATCTGAATAAATTAAATTCCTACTACGCTATACAATATTCACTTCCATTAAATGTAAGAATAACAATTGACGACAGCCGTTTTTAATTGGAGATTTGTATACTTCAATGCAAATGAGTGATACTTACGTTTGCGTCTTGATTACTGTTCCTATCGCTCCTCACATAAGCGTATTTGTTTTGAGTTTACAGAATCGAATCAATATGCTTACTTAAAAATCATCATAAGAGCTTTACGCGCCATATATTTATTATTCAAAGTTTTATGATCGGCCTTTTTCGCCTGATAGAATTGAATAATTTATACATTACGTGCAATTCATTCATGCATAATGTCAACATGGTCTTTGTTGATGTTTTTCTTAGTCAAATACAAGTAGGAAGTATTTAAAGCATAGATTATACCACTACTTAGGTTGAAAGATACGCTCCATATTCAGTCTCGTACCGTTAATGTAGGACGCAGGCACGGATTCCGTTTCAGTCGTTATATTAGACACAAAAATATGGCTGTATGGTGATGAGATACTGCGCATATATACGGCTATACAGCATGAAAGTATAGCATCGTAAAACGGTGCCA